CCCACTGGAAAGCCTGAGATTCAGAGACTGGACCAAGCCCAGAGTGTTTCCTTTCTGGTGAAGGTTTCTTCTCTGAGTCAGGATGGGGTTAGTGAGTGCTCACGGGCTGTCCGTGCAGAGACCGGCTCAAAGGCCCCAGCAGCCCATCTCTGCAGGCCTGGCTGTTTGCTATAGCATCCGGTTTCAAAGGCTCCAGATTTAGGAAACTGACACTAAGCCCAAAAGGACACATTTTTCCCTTAGTACAAGAAACACATCATTAATAACCCCCTTGATGGCAATAAATCATATAATACTGGGGAAGGCGGCGGAGAGACAGTGAAACCGGGTCGGGAGAAATCAGATGTCCACGGCGTTCTATACCCAGGCTACACACATGGAAACACGACAATTTCTACTGAGGAAAAAGAAAAATCACATCCCTGACAGGCCAGCACACTCAACAGCAGTAACCCGGGAAAACACGCACCCTTGCGTGATTTGGCAGAACGGGCTCTCCCCGAGACAATGGCCCTTTGACACATCCTTGGCGTTCTAACACAAAAGCCAAAGAAAAAAATAAATAAATTTTAAAAATGAAGGGGAAAAAGAAAAGAGAACAGGACGCTAGGAAGAGTCTTCAGTTTGAACTCTCTCGCCGAGAAGCCCAAGACCGACAAGACATGTGGGGTGCGTGCCTGGCACCAGTTAGGCGACAGCGTCCGCTGCCAGCTTTTGTCTGGCTGTACCGAAGGGCCACAGAGCCCCCTAGCGGGGGAAGAGCATGACACACGCCACGAAAACCCCCGCGGTATCACACCCTGTCACAATCTGACTCTGCCACTCTTGGGTGAAAGTAACAAAGTCATTTCAGTTGGGGACTGTATAAATCTATCTCCACGTTTTAAAACCTCATATAGCACTTGTGATCTCAGTTAGAATGTTAACTACTAGCAACCATGTTATTTCTGTTTACTAAAGCTTTACATGTAGTTATCAAATCATGAGAAATCATGAGATCAGGCTCTCTGGAATACTCAGCCTGTCCCTTCTTTGAAGAAAGATTTATCTTCCGAAATACTGTGTGATTTCCATGTATATTTAATGCTGAGGAATATTTCAGTGCAAAAAGGCTTCTTAATTCATCAGGTACTAAGTCTGAATCTTTATGTACTTTCATTCAAGAACTTTTCCCAAGCCTATGGGGGAAATGTCAGGAGTTTCTCAGAACAAAATCATTTCAAAATCATTCTACTTAAAATATATGGGTATGTTTTAGTATGAGCAAGAAGTGATCACAAAAGCTTTAAATTTAAAATGGGAGCTTAGATCCTGGTGAGTTATTTACACAATTTCAGAAATTTTCCCCCCACTTAGCGAGTGGCACGTTCTTGTAAAGAATATCCAGGCCAAGATCTCATGAGTTTAAGTCTTGGGGCTGGAGCGATAGCACAGCAGGGAGGACGTCTGCCTTGCACGCAGCCGACCCGGGTTCGATTCCCGGCATCCCATATGGTCCCCCGAGCACCTTCAGGTGTAATTCCTGAGTGCATGGTCCAGGAGTAACCCCTGAGCATCGCCAGGTGTGACCCAAAAAGCATAATAATAATAATAATATTATATAATAATATTATATAATAATAATAAGTCTTGCTATAATCGGAAAAGCAACTGTATCAGCCTCTACCGCAGGAGAAGCTATCACAGAGGGGCGCATTTAAGTCACAGAATGGCTTCAGAACAGCCTGTGGCCTCGGAGTCGTGGGACCCTTGGGGATGGCGGGAAAGTCAGTGGCCCGGTCTGGGCTCGGGGAATGACTCAGAGTCTGCGCGGAAAGAAAGCCACGGCTGTGGAGAGGCCCAGGCCAGCCCTGACTGCAAGGGCAGATCTAACTCCGGAGGACACTGCTTCGCCAGGGTGGACGGCGATCTCCTGGGCTCTGGCTGGCAGAGCTGGTCACTGTGCTCCGGAGTGAGCTCACCGTGACGCTGAGCCGGGGAGCACAGGAACTGCCTCTGTCCTTGCTGTGACCACAGCACGGGGCCCAGACCCGGGCTCCCCCGCTGGCCCGCTAGGCCCGAATTACCATGCTCACCTCGGCATTCGCAAGCGTGTTTGGGATTTCCCCAGGGAAATCGGGAATGCCTTCATTTGGTTTCAAGGAGAACAATTTTAGGGATGACTTCGGCAGCCCGAAAGTGTAGTTTCTCTATCTCAAAATATGTCAGTTTTGGTATTTAAGTGTGCGTGCACATAACACATGCACATGCACACACACGCACACGCACGTACGTGCCCACAGACACACGCACACACAGAAACACACAAGTACACACCGGAATGCCTGTAAGAAATCTTAAGAAGAAGATTATGTAACATAAATACCAACAGAAAACGGAAGAGTCCGTCTCAGACTCCATTTTACTGGCTTATAAACCAAGGTGGCAAACCTGCATTTGTTCGAGCAGGAAAAAAAAAAAAAAGAGCTTTATTCCTGCTAATGGGTCCTCGGGCTCAGAAATCGAAACCAGGCCAGCCCGTTCCGGGTCTAAAGTCGCGAGACTGCACACAGCTCAGTGTTATGGAGGTTCAAAAGGTGAAAGTGACTTTTCATCCTGACTAAACTCTGGAAAGAGATTTAAAATACCAAATCCTGCCCCTCAGTGGCTTAAGGTCACAGGAAAATGAAGGGGATTTATCATCACCGCCGGTGCAGACGGTGAAGGGGACTCATTTGCCCGCGCCTGTTAGCACTGCGGAAACGGGCAGGTCTGCCAGGTAGCACACGGCCTGCATGCCAAGCCCTGGGTCCGACCTGTGGCCCACATGCAGCCCCGCCCCACCCCCACCAGCCCACCAGCGTGGGTGCCGACCCCACAACAGTAGAGACAGACCACACACCGCCTAGAAGTGCCCCCGAACTCTGCCCGGGGTCCATCTGTCCCCAGCACCCATGGCTGCGCAGGCGAGGGGCACGGGCCACCCAGCTCAGGCCCGGAGAGGGGAAGAAGCCCGCCCAGAAGAGGCACCGCCAGCGTCAGCGCCGAGAGCACTGAGTTTCCTGTGCAGCACCCGAGGCGCTGGGCCGACAGTGGCATTGAGAGGAGCAGCCGCAGCAGTACAGGACAGGACGGCAGGATGGCCCGAAGAAGCGCTGCCCCCGCCTGGCCTGCCCAGGGCTGCATGGAACGCATAGGAACAAGCCCCCTCCCGTGTGTCCTCCAGGGGAACGGCGGCCACAGGAACGAAGGGCTGAGCCCCACACAGGCGGCCACCAGCTTCCGCTCACACGGACAGGGTCCCCAGGCGCCACAGGCCCTCAGACTGAAGTCCGGCGAGATGACCACTAGTCTCCGATGCCCACGGCTCCCTAGGAAGGGGATGGGGGGACGGGGAGGGATGGGATGCCAGGCCACCATCCACATGGGCCTATGGGCGTCCGGCTGTATGGGCGTTTCTCCAAACTGTGACTGATCAGAGAACGGGGGCCGGGAACGGGCCCGACAGGCCCCACGGACTGGCAAATTCCCATTCATTGCACAACACCCGGCTAAGACACACGCAGCCCACAGTCCGGCTACTGCCCAGAAGAACCTTCTCGCCCACAGAACTAGGTGGAGTGCAGGGGCCCCGCAGGCCAGTGCTGGCCAGGCCAGCCCTGACCTGGACGGCTCCCCCAGCCCCCGGCGACATCCGCAGCGACCTTGGGAGAGCGGACAGCTCACAGGTGCACGGGGGCCTCTTCCCACAGCCCTCACAGTCCCACCTGGGCTGAACTGGGCACGGGGGGAGGTTCTTCCCGCTGATACCCAGGTCTGTGCCCTCCCAGCTGAACCTCGGGACGGAACCCTGTGGAACCGTCTCTGAAATCGCAGAAACACCAGGCCAGCCCCTCAATCTGAAATGCATCAGATCCTTGTGCCCCCCGCAAATAAATACTAGCGGGCGCTGTCCCCAGCCGCTGGGCCTCAAGGACAGACACTGGCCAGGCCACAGTGGACAGTTTCCACTAAGGAAATGGGCGCCCCCGAGTGGTACGAGGAACGTGCTGGCAGACCCCAAGGCTTGGGCAGGAGAGGAACGAATGTTCCTCCCGCTCCCGTGCCTGCCAAGGCTGGTGGGTGTCCGAGACAGTCCAACAAGGGACAGGAAACCATCAGAGACAAAGAAGAGAGGGAGGTGGCAGGCGCAGGAAGGAGCAGAGCAAGGGAGGGAGGAGGAAAGAGGAGGAGAAGGAGGAAGAGGAGGAGGAGGAGGAGGAGGAGGAGGAGGAGGAGGAGGAGGAAGAGGAGGAGGAGGAGGAAGAGGAGGAGGAGGAGGATGGAGGAGGACAGGAGGGGGCGTCAGCCCGCAGGCCCCGAGGACAGAGAGCACACGGCAGGTGTCCACTTCTCAGACACAGACGGCCCTGGCAGCGACAGCCTGACCCTAAGCACTGGGTTCTAGCCACTCAGGTCAAGGCCCTCGGAGCAAGGACACTCGGAATCCACCAAGGGCCACTGGACTGGCCTCAGGTCCCCGCTGCCCCCTTAACGCGGTGCCCACTGGCCCACGACGCGTCCCCCTTGCAGGCCTTGTAGCTCCAGTCCCAGTTACCGAACACGGGGCAGGAAGTGGGCTGAGCAGGCGATGAGGGCGAGGAGGGCTGACTCTCCAACCTAGCAAAGACTCGGACCCTGCATGGACGGGAAGAGGCGCTCCAGGCACCCGAGCGCACAGGCCGCGCCCTGGCTGCCGGCCGCGGTGGCCACGGCCAGTCCCTTCCGGTCTGAACCCCACAGGCCGGAGCCAGCTATCGCTGACAACCCCGGTCTCTGGCGGGTGCTTGGGGCACAGCCGCACCCTGCAGCTTCCGGAGCGACGCGGGGACGGCTAGAGCAGGCGGCCGGGGGCTCACAGAAACAGCGGCTGGCCGAGACAGCGTCGTCACGCGCCGTCGGATGGGGTCAGGGAAGGAACCGCACCCGCGCGCCCTCCCCTGTCTCGCCGCTGCGCAGAGAGCCGACGCACCCGGGCCTACCTATGCCCGAGTTGGCGCCCGTCACCACCACCACTCTGCCCGACAGGTCGCGGCCCTGCAGGATCTCCATGGCCGTGGTGCTGCCGTCGTACTTCTGCCGGATGCTCGGCTTGGCGGGGTTGTCATCCACGGTGAAGGCCAGCCGCGGGTCCAGGTAGGTGGTTCTCTTATTGATGTGGCTGCGGGGAGAAGGAAGAGCAGCTCACCCAGAGGACACAGGGCCGTGCCACGGCGGCCCGGGACCCTCCACGTCCACCAGAAAGGCGGATCCTTGACCCCAGAGGGAGGACATTCACGCTGAGTCCTCTTCCCTTCGGAAGCGTCAGAGGCAGCGCACAGGCCTCACGCCCCGGGTCTCACGGCCGGAGAAGCACCATCACCCGTTCTAAGTCCATATGGCTGTGTCTGCGGACTAGTTGGTCTAGATCCAGAGATTCTGACTCAGTGTCCCCCCTGCCATGCAAAGACTAAGGAAAACTGACGAGGGGGGGACTCAACATGAGAAAAGTCTTTACAGCAAATGGGAGGCTAGTGGCGGGAAATGTGCAGGGGTGGAGGGACAGGTGTTGGGAAACTGTGCAAAGGGAGAGGATGGGTGTTAGAACACTGTGTGCAGGGATGATGGGTGTTGGAACACTGTATGATTGAAACCCAATCTGGACAACTTTGTAACTGTCTAGCTCAGGGTCAGGGTCACGGTCACGGTCCTCCCGTTATTCATTGATTTGCTCGAGCGGGCCCAGTAACATCTCCATCGTGAGACTTGTTGTTACTGTGTTTGGCATATTGAATACGTCATGGGGAGCTTGCCAGGCTCTGCTGTGCGGGCGAGATACTCTCGGTAGCTTGCTGGGATCTCCGAGAGGGGCCAAGGAATTGCACTCTGGTCGGCCATGTTGGCTGCGTGCAAGGCAAACACCTTACCCACTGTGCTGTCGCTCCAGCCCATCTCAGGGTAAGTCAATTAAATTAAAAAAAAAAAAAAAAAAAAAAAAAAAAACGCCGCTAGCCAACTCCTAGAACTGCATCCACCACCTCCACCAGACTCTCTGCTTCGAGGGCAGCTCAACTTACAGAAACGACATCAGAATTCAGAGGGACATAAAACTCAGTAAGTTACTCCTTACGGGATAAATTTTTATTTGTCTTGCATGCAGCCAACCCGGCTGACCCAGGTTCGATTTCCTCAGAGAGCCTGGCAAGCTACCGAGAGCATCTCGCCCACACGGCAAAGCCTGGCAAGCTATCCGTGACGTATTCGATATGCCAGACACAGTAACAAGTGTCACGATGGAGACGTTACTGGGCCCGCTCAAGCAAATTGATGAACAACGGGAGGACAGTGACAGTGTGACAGTGACACCTTAAATGTCTTCTTGGCAGTTAGTATTAAAAAGAAAAAAAAGACAAAAACACCAAGAAAACTTAAAAAACCATTGAGAATGCTTCAGACAGACAGTGACGCCATTTCATTGAAAGGCACCACTCCACCAGGACTGGAACGACAGGCCAGCAGGGAGGGCGCTTGCCTTGTATGTGGTCCACCCGGCTCCAACCAGGCACCCCTGATGGTCCCTGAGCCCCGCCAGGAGTGATCCCTAAATGCAGAGCCCTGAGCACAGCCGGGTGTGGCAAAAAAAAAAAAAATCAACAAAGGTTTCGATCTGTTAATGTGGATATAACATCAGGCAGTTCTGAGTGGGGGCCCTGAGAGACCTGAGACAGAAGCACAGCCTGAGGGACACCTCGCCCCCAGGGCTGCCCTCGGGGACAGGACGGGGTGGGACAGCAGGGCAGGGCAGCAGGGGCCTGAGCCAGCACCCGCCTCCCAACAACAGTGACCATCCCAGGCAGCTCAGGGGGCCTTGGCCACAGCCCCGCCTGCCCGGCTGCCCGTGCCCTGAGTCCTGGGACCTTATTCCAAAGAGGGGGCCGCCATCCAGGGCACTGGGTACGTCCGTGATTACATTGCCCAGTTCGTGATGCGGGAAGTCAGAGCGTGTCTGCACAGAACTCGAACCCAGGACCAGGGTGTCTGGGAACTGAGGGCCTGAGGACGGGCTCAGAGGGAGCAGGTAGGGGAGGATCACAGCGGCACAACAGGTTCTGGGCTTTTCTTTTTTTTCTTTTTTTTTTTTTTTTAAAGAAAATCTCTACAGAAAACAGAGTGAGTGGGAAGTTGTTCAAAACAGTTATTCCAGGCCAGAGAAAAAGAGCACAAGCTGATCACAAGCCTTACATAGGGGAAGCCCGGGACAGGCTGACCCACACAGCTCCCTGGGCACTGCCAGGACGGACCCTGAGCAGAGAGCTGGGAGCAACCTCCACACACACACAGACACACACAGACACGCACACACACGCGCGCACACACACACACACACACAAAGCACAAACGCACACACATATATGTAAAGAGGCACAGACACACACACACACACACACACACACACACACACACTGCAGCTCTGCCTACGAGGGGGATCACAGCGCCTGTCCCTATGGCCGGAACCTCCTCTTCTTACAATGGAAACGAGTCCTATCAAAACGCAGAACGGCTGGGCCTAGTTTCCACGGAGGTGACACTTACTCGACAAAAAACACTTGTCCATTCTCATCGGTCTCTTGCTCCCATCCATAGGGCAGATCTGAAACACAGAGGAGACGACCGGGGTGGCAGGGCAGCTGGCCTGGGGCCCGCGGCCCAGCTGGGCGGGGGAGGACCGGACCCCGCCCCCACCCCGAGCTGAGTCCACAGCCCTGCCCGTCCCGTTGCCGTTGTGACACAGCGGTCCTGGGCCCGGCCCGCTGCCAGCTGGAATCTGGAGCACAGCCCTGGGCGCACACCTGCCTCCCCGTCCGGGTCCGACCACGCCCCGCTGTGTCCCTCAGCACCATCCCATGGGTCCTGATGGTCCTGGCCACGCACCGCCTTTTCAGCTGGACCCAAGATCTCCATCGCACAGGGACCGTCTCACAGGGAGCGCCCCACCCACGGTCACCTCAACGGAACTCCACCGAAGCCACACACGCCGAATCCCAGGACACAAGCTACTCAGACAGAGCGACTTCAGGGACACCCCCAGGGCTGCAGTCAGAGGCCCTGAGACCAGCCTGACCGCTCCAGCCCAGACCTGGCCACCTCCGCCACACACCCAGCAGTTCCCCACCGCAAACCCGGGTCCCCGCGAGAGGGAAGCTTCCAGAACACCACCCGCCTGCCACCTCTCTACTGGGCCCTTCGTCCTAGAGGAAGCAGGCCTGGAAGGCAAGGCCGTCCGCTCTGCTCGGGTGACGTACACACCTCCGGAGATGCGTTTTCTTTTCCCAGTTTTGGGGTGTTCCCACTGCGTCTTCTCCTCCGAGTGGCTGTCAACAAAAATTTATAAATCCATAAATCAAGGATGAGACTTGTAAGAGTTAATTTATTGCACTGAATGTTTTCTTTCCAGACAGTGCTCTCTCTCCAGGGGAGTGAGAACAGACATCAGGAAAAGAAAGAGGCAGAGTCTCAGTCACTGAACACCGGCTCAGATTCCCGACCAACTGCAAAACTCCCCAGAAGCCAGGCCTGAGGAGTGAGCGGGTCAGCGGGAGGACGGAGAGGGGAGGACGTGGGCCCAGATGATGAAGGATGGAGCGTAGAGGAGGAATGTGGAAACCAGCGATGGATGGATGGATGGATGGATGGATGGATGGATGGATGGGGAAGGACACGAATCCCAGAGAAGGTCCCGTCCCATTGGGGGTACCGTCCTGTGGGGGGGGTCCCATCCCATGGGGTGTCCTGTCCTGTGGATGGCTAGACAGATGGATGGACGGACGGACGGATGGACGGGCGGGCGGATGGATGGATGGATGGACGGACGGATGGATGGACAGATGGATGGATAGATGGATGGACGGCTAGACAGATGGGCGAGGATGGATGGCCGGCTGGGAGTGGAACCCGGGTGGGATGGGTGCCAGCAGGCACCTCATCACTGCACTTGTTCCCAACACCTTCAGGATTCTGGAACATTGCCTGAGGCTGGCTCTGAGCCCACATCCTGGCCTGAGCCAGTTCCCTCACCGGTGGTCCTGTCCTACAGGGGTGTCCTGTCCTGTGGGGGTCTCCTGTCCTGAATGGGTGTCCTATATGGTGTCCCATCCTGTGGGGTGCCCCGCCCTGTGGGGTGTCCCATTCTGTGGGGTGTCCCATCCTGCGGGGTGTCCCATCCTATGGGGGTGTCCTGTCCTATACGGTGTCCTATCCCGTGGAGTGTCCCATCCCATGGGGTGTCATGTCCTGTGGGTTGTCCTATCCTGGGGTGGGTCCCATCCTGTGGGGTATCCTGTCCCGTAGGGATCCAGTCCCATGGGGGGGGGGGTCCTGTCCCATAGGGGGTCTCGTCCCATGGAGGGTCCCATCTGTGGGGGTCCCATCTCATGGGTGGGGTCCCATCCCATGAGGGGTCCCGTCCCGTGGGGGGTCCTGTCTCGTGGGGTGCCCCGTCCCGTGGGGGGTCCTCTCCTATGGTTGTCCTGTCCAGGCTAGCCCCTGTACTGTGGGAGGTGAGTGGAAGTGAGTGGAACGAGCCTCCTGAGGCCCACCCTGGGGTGCAGGGTCCCGGGGGGAGCAAGACTCTCACAGCCTGCTGCTCACCCTTGCCTCAGCCCCACGCCCTGAGGGAAGCTGTATGACCACCCTCTGCCTCAGTTTCACCACCAGTAAAAAATAAAAAAGCTGGGGACGCTAACAGCTCCCCCCGGAGTGTTGCACAGCCGGGCAGCCCCCCTGCTCGGATAGGCTAGAGGAAGCCCAGAGGGCAAAGGAAAGCGAAGGGGGCGTCTCGGGCCATCTGCCCACTCCCTGAGGAGCCTGTGTGGCCGGGCCGGGGGTAGAAGGCCTGGAGGGATGGCAGGGCCGCAAGGAACCAACAGCCAAGAGCAGAGGGACCCCTGAATACAGGCCAGGGCCGGCCATGGGAGACCTGAAGCCGCAGTGTCCTGCAAGCCCCCAAAACTGGCTGGAAGGTGCAGAGGTTCTCTAGTGAAACCCGGGGCCCCACACCCAGACAGTGGACAGAAGGGGGCAGGAGGGAGCGGTGAAGGGAAAATGAGGGCGTCGCCTCCAGGCAGCCTCCAGTCCTGACCCCCTGGGAAGCCCAAACAACCTGGGGCACTCAGGCAGCAAGGACCGGCCAGGAACTGGGCTTATCACTTTCCGGGGCCCACGCCCACTCCTCCCACCGCTCTGCTGAGCCTTCCTGGAATGGGGGTCTCACTGCACAGGCTCCTCTGGGGGCCCTGGGGGGCCCGGGAGAAGGACTGACTGGGCACTTCACAGCCCGCAGCACGAAGCGGGCAGAGGACAGGGCGGCAGCCGGGTGCAGGCCAAGGGTCACGGGCCGGCATCCAAGGCACAGCTCTGGGGACATGGGGGCGGCCTCACCCAACATCTCCCGCAAACCCCGAGAGGCCCGAGGGCTAGGGCAGGAGCCACCCAGCCCCTTGGGGCCTTGCGCCCACATGGAACTGACTCCTGCCAGGGGCACCCACCCCGCCTGTTCCTCACCCGGGGCTGCCTCCTGTCCCCACAGTCGCCAGGGACAACAGCTCAGCAGGTGGCCTCCCCTATGTGTACAAGCAGCCCTTGGGTGGGCACTCTCCAAGGAGGCGCCCCCAAAGGGAGGTCCAGCAGCTGGGCCTTCCTCACCTCGGGGAGTGGAGGAACGGACCAGACCCCAACGGGGGGTGAGAATAAAAAAAACCCAGCAAGGTCTTTTTGGTTTTCTCTCTCTCTGTTGGCTGCATCCTTGGGGAACCCTGATTCACTCAAGGACTGGGGGAAGGCGGTAAGGGGGGAGGGTGTGTTTGTATTTCAGTGTTCCAGCCACTGCAAAATCACTGGCTTGCATTCGTGCCTGTCAGAATCCACCCGGGAGAGCTGACCACGGTCCGGGCCGGCCCCTGGGGAGGTTCTGGAGTCAGAGGGAGCAGCTGTGAGCCCAGGGTGTTTAGGACCCCCGGGCTGAGTGCATAGGACCCCTCTCCCTCGTGCTGAGTGCTTCGCGGGCAACGTGTCCAGGGAGTGGAGGGGGAGACAGTCGCACGGGTCCATCATCTCACATTTGGGCCAGGTGGGCGCCCAGGGCAGGGGGTGGGCGGCGCTGCCCCCTGCGCAAAGTCACCCGGTGTCACCCGCGTCCCCGGGCCGGTGGCGCCGAGGCAGACCCGGGCGAGTGCCCAGATCGGGAGCTGAGCTGGCAGAGCAGACCCCCCCGGCCGGCCCGCACTTGCAGCGCTGCCGCCGGAGACCCCCGACCCGGCCCCCGCGCGGTCCCGGCTGGCCCAGGGTGCGGGTGCGCCCGGCCCGGGCCGCTTACTTGGCGTAGTACACCCAGCCGTCCTTGGTGGTCCGCTGCTCCCAGCCCGGGGGCAGCTCGTCCTCGCTGTCCGTGTCGTCCAGGCCCGCGTAGCGCAGCGCAGCCATGGGGACGGGTCGCCTCTGGCTCCGGGTGCTCCGCTCCGGGTGCTCCGCGACTCACTCCCGCCGCAACCGAGCGCCGCGCGCGTCCGGATTGAGGCGCTCGCGCCTGCGCACTGCGCGCCCGCCGCCGCGGGGACGGGAATCCGCTCTCCGGGCTTTCGCGCGCGCCGCGGCCGAAGGGGCGGAGCCCGCGGGAGCTCGGCCCAGAACGGGCCCGAGAGGGCCCCCGCGGCCGCTCGGGTGGAGGGAAAAGCCGATGTGGATTCTCGAGGTCCGGAGCTGGAGCCGAGCGCTCGCCACCTCCCCCCGCCGCAGGGACCGGAGCCGGCGTCCAATCAGGGCCCAGGACTCCGCCCGTTGCCGGGCGACCCGTAATCACTTCCGCGTTGCGCCGACCAATCCCGACGAGCTGCACGAGCATCCTGGGAAGTGGAGTCCAGGCCCGCCGGGACGCGGGCTGCAGAGGAAGGGAACCGGGTCGCTGCGGAGCTCTAGCTGCTTCTGTCTGCCCACCGAGCCTTAGGGAGCACCGACGTTCCTTCTCGGAAACCTTCCAGAGCTTGCTGGCCGCCGCACTGATGCGCATGCAAACGCAAAGTTGTGAACTTTGTGTTGTGTGTGCATGCAAAAACAAAGTTGTGAACCAGGGAGACAGTTCAAGAGGCAAACCCTTGCACCTACTGATGACCCCATGTGGAGAAACGCCTTCCAGCTGCAGCACGGATGATTAACGCGCTGTTGGCAATTAGCCTTTACAGGCTGGTGAGCAGCTCTTGGCATCTATCCTGAGAACACACAAGTATTAGGGACCAGAGAAAGAGTACAGCGGTAGGGCGTTTGTCTTGCACACGGCTGACCCAGGTTCGATCCCCTCGGCATGCCATAGGGTCCCCTGAGCCCCACCAGGAGTAACCCCTGAGCAACACCGGGTGTGCTCCCCCCAGAAAACACACACACATACAAGCATTCGTTCAAAAAGGTATAGATATGTCTCAGTCTAGTACACTATTATTTACAAAGCCCAAGATGTGGAAACAGCCCGCGTTCCCAATAACAAAAACTGGGTCTTGATGTCGGTGGACCCCCACGGGTGGCTCACACGAGTCGGGAGGAGAGAAAGACGGTCACTCTCACTCCGCCTCTGCCACCCAAGAGTCCCTGGGTAGGCTAGGACCGGTCAAGTCTGCAGTGAGCACCTGCTCGGCTCGGACCTAAGCCCCGCCAGCCCCACAAGGTGGCCGTCAAGCCACACCTGAAGTCCGCTTGGTCTTCTCAGCTCGGGAGTTAATCCCCGCCACCCGATTTCTCTGGGAGCCACGGACTCAAGTTGGGGTGAGAATTTGCTCTTTGCAGGAAAGGAGAGACCAGTCCCAAGCCTTACCCGGGGTTTCTAGGGTTCTTGTCTCACTCACAGAAAAGAATTTCAGGAGTCAACAGGCAGTGAAGTAACAGATTTTATTTGGAGGCTTTTGGAGAGGGAGAGAAAGGGATAAGCAGATAAGCCGGGGAATGGAGAGTGACAGAGAGAGAGTAACGCGTCCAGAGAGAACGCGGGCTTCTCCGAGGGTGGAGAGAGCCCCAAGTGGGCTCTCGAGTTGGCTCTTATAGATCCTTCTGACTCGGAATGTTCTAGAATCTCCTTGGAGCTGGGTCGCTGGAGTTAACCGGATTGAAAGGGGGTCCGAGAATCTTCTGACTCGGAATGCCCTGGAATCTCCTTGGGGCTGGGTCACTGGAGTTTGAAAGGGAGGTTCGAAGATTTTCGGAAAAGAGGAATTTCATGGGGAGGAGGCCCATATCTTCAGGGTCTGGGGATGGTCTTATCAGGTCTTTGTTTTCTATATCCACAAGGTGGATCAGTCCTAGAATTCTTCTTCCATGAAACTGTGTTAATTCAAGTTTCATCACCAATGACCTTTCCCTATCTACCTCCTACATCAGCCTGACTCCAATTTCTCTGACCCTGAAGTCTGCAGGGAAAAGCAGCTGTTTGAAAGGAGAAGGGGCTGCATTGCTCTGTGTCTCTCAAACCTTGAAGCTGCCGCTGCTCTGGGGGGGGGGGGGGGGGGAGTTCCTGCTGGTTTCCTTTTAAAGCTGCCCACCTGAGGGTTCCACTTAATGAGATCACATGCCAGTTTTTTCCAGGCCCACGAGCTTGTCTCAAATCTAGAAAAACACCACTCGTTGCCAATCCACGTGCGTTTAATCAAGTTTCCACGCACTTGCAGCTCTTGCTCCAAACAAACGCATTCCTGTGACATGAATAGGACGGCAGGCTGCAAATGCCCTTCGTGTTTGGGGGTGAGTGGGCGGCGACAAAAGAAACAAGTCTCGGTCTCCGTGTCACCTTGGTGCTGTCCCTGACCTCCGGCTCTTTACATTGGCCTTGGGTTGTGTTCCCAGAGCTCTGCTGGCAACTGTCACCTGTGGCTCGGCACCTTCCCATGTGGCATCTTCCCTAACTGGTTAGTGTTCAGCTTCTGGGTCAACCTTCCGTCGCTCTTACCCATGCAACCATTTAAAGTCAGGGTGCCGGCCTCAGGGCTACTACAGTCATCCAGGCCAGCTAGTTCTCTGGAAAGGACTGACGCTTCCGGGCGCAGTTTCGCTGTCTCTCTGGCGCCGTCCACTAGATGGCGGTAGCGCCCCTCGTCCAGATGTAACACCAAAAACTCGCCTCCAGATGTTGCCCACCGGGAATCTTTGCTCTAAGCTGTAAATTACTAACTCCTCCAGGACGTGACTAACTCAAATCAAAGGCTGATATTTATTTAAGGCAGTGCAGAGTCCATTTCAGGCCAATTTGGTCCTCACATCCTGCTAGTTTTAATCACCAAGTTCTCTAGTGTTGCCTGAACACCTCCCCCCCACCCGCCCCCCACCATACCCCATCCCTCCACTTCTTTGTCTGCAGATGAGAGACATGGGCTGAAAGAAGGCTGTATGGGTGGCCCAGGAACCAACAACGGTCCTCCATGTTCATAGCTTCCTCTTCCTCTCCTGGTCCTCAATGTTTATAACTTCATTTTTCTTCTTTTCCTGGTCCTAAATGTTCATTAAACTTCATCTTCTTCCTTCCCTCCTACCTCTTAGGCACTGTTAGAAGGTTCAAGAAGGCAGATATCCAGCATGCGGAGACTTAAGAGAGCAGGAATTTAGAGGTTCCCAAACTAATTTGCCCTACCTTCTTTTCAGGAGAAGAACTTCCTTGTTACTCCCTTGGAAATCCACCCTCTTCAAGGAAACCAACAAAAGTGCCACCGAATTGCAGAGGGCTCTGTTCCAGCTCTTCACGGCCACCCCAGCCCAGAACGAAGCCCTCTGGGAAACACTTTGGGTTTCACAAATACTCATACATGCGCCTAGTCTATTGCAAGCAGCAGGAAAACCACCCGAAGTTTCGATTTCCTCCACCCTTTTGTGTGATTCGTGATCTCTTGCTTCTTTTCCTTCCTCTGCACGGACGGGGTACATCTTTCCGCTTCTCCTTCCCGGCTTTTTCCATCTCCCCATCTTTTCTGCCCTTCTTGGACTTTAGCTTAAATAGGACGCTGACAGATACTGCACAGATCAGAGAGGACAAGCCCAGTTTCTTTGATAAGATTGTTATGGGTTCAGGAGCCTTAAGCTTGGGAATGAGTCTGGATCCTCTAGGTGTACCCCCAGGACCATGGTTTGCCCACCAAAGCCCACTGAATCATTATTTGATGGTAGCACTGTAGCACTGTCCTCCCGTTGTTCATCAATTTGCTCAAGCGGGCTCAGTAACATCTCCATTGTGGGATTTCTTGTTACTGTGTTTGGCATATCGAATACATCACTGGGAGCTTGCCAGGCTTTGCCGTGCGGGCGAGATAACTCTCAGTAGCTTGCCGGGCTCTCCGAGAGGGGTGAAGGAATTGAACCTGGCTTGGCCAGGCCTGCCGCGCGCAAGGCAAACGCCCTACCGCTGTGCTATGAGATGGTGGGAAGAGAAATTCAGCATGTGGTTCTACATTTGCCCACCAGAGGGCAGACTCTGACCACAATTTTTAAGGCTAAATCCCACTCCTGTTAAGATTCCTACATCTGGGCTGGGGTTTTTTTTTCCCCTTTTGCTAGATTGCCTCTGTAATAATTGATATTTAATGAACATAAATAGGGTCCATTTATGCTGAAAGCAACTTGGCATTCGTTCTCTATGGGCTGGGTTCTCCACAGCCAGGCATCTTCGGATTCATTTGCATTTGAAGGAAGATGGTCTTCCTCCCCCTGCATGCATGAACCATTCTCCAGCCTGCTTTAACCTCATGTGCCCGTCCTTGGGGTATTAAACATTTGGCTTTGGTTTCAGGGTGAGTGTGTCCATGCATGCTGGAAAGATGACACCATAAGGATCCCCCTGCTGAGACTAGAAGATGGACTTCGTTCCTCTTCCAAGCTCTTAAGCTCTTCATTATTGTTATTATTATAATTTTGTTGTTGTTGTTGACACAGTTTGAATTGAGATCTTGTAATATTCAAGTTCTCTCTTTTCTTGTCTTTTTCTATCTTTTTTTAAAAAAGATAGATAAGGAAAAGAAAAGAGAGAACTTGAGGCGCTGGAGCGATAGCACAGTGGCAGGCCATTTGCCTTGCGCGCAGCCAACCCGGCCGAACCAGGCAAAGGCTGGCAAGCTACCCCTGATGTATTCAATGCACCAAACACAGTAATAACAAGTCTCACGATGGAGACGTTACTGGGTCTGCTCGAGCAAATCGATGAACAACGGGAGGACAGTGTTTGTTTGTTGTTTGATCTTTTTTTAAAAAAAAAATATATCATTCACTGTATACTTCGTGGCTTGCCCTTCCTTGGGTAGCTGTTGTTGTTGTTGCTGTTGTTTGGGACCACACCCGGCACTGCTCCCACAGGCCTTGGACTGAAAGGCAAAGGGCCTCTGCCCAGTGTCACACACACAGTTGTGTGTGAGTGGAGCCCTGCTCTTATTTTATGAGGTTTGAAAGAAGCCACGATGTGTACAGTGAATGATATTTTTTAAAAAAGATAAA